TGTTAGTTGTATCACATAGAGGAATCTTGAAAGCAGATATATTTCTGAAAACAGAAAATATACAAATGGAGCATAATTTATGATTCCACCTGTATTCTGGAACAGGTAACTGTGGATACAATGAAAAGTTCAGTGGTTTCTGGGCCCTCAGAGCGGGTGGGATTTGGAAGGGCATATATGAATAAGTGAAGCACACAGATTTGAGACGGTGAAACAATTCTGTATGTTACTGTAATGCTGAATGCTTGTTACACATTTGCCCTAAGCAACAGCATGCACCACACTAAAACTGAGTCTTGATGTAAACTGTAGACTTTAGTTAATGATGTAGTAGTGTCAGGTCAATCAGTTGGAGCAAGTGTGCAACATTATTACAAAATGTAAATGGGAGTGTGTGTGTGTGCACAGGCACAGGGGGTGGGTTAGTGGAGATATGTGGGAACTCTGTATTTTTTATTAAGTTTGCTCTCTGCATTTTCCAATCAGCAATACTCTCAACATTCTGTTAATTTTAAAAAGACGCAAATGATTTGAACAGACGCTTCACAAAAGAGAATACACCAATTGCTAAGAGGCATGTGAAAAGATGATCAACGTCATTTGTCATTAGAGAAATGCAAATGAAAACCAGAAAATATTCCACTACACACTTATTAGAATGACTTAAATCTAAAAATCTAAAAATATCAAATGTAACAGAGGTTTTTATTAGAACAACAGGCATTCCCATTCCTTGCTAATTAAAATGAAAAATGATACACCCACTCTTTGAGAAGTGAGTATTGTATGAGCCTATTCATATGACATTCTGGGAAAGTTACAACTCTAGGAACTGTTAATAAAAACAGAGCATAGTTGCTAGGGGCTTGGGAGAAGTACAGAGATTGACTTCACAGGAGATGCACAGGGGAATTTTAGACTGATGAAACTGGTCAATGATACAGGACTCCTTGCATTTGTTACAATGCTTATAACTTTACATAATAAATATGATATATGTAAGCTTTGAAAATTAACCATGGTTTGGGATTTTTAAAAAGTTATTGGCTACTGAAAAGACAATGGATTTTACAGTGATGAAAAAACAAGAAAGCAACAGTAAGGAAGCTGTTGCCATAGTCTAGGGAAGAGATGCTCTTAGTTTCACCCAAAGCAGTAGCAACAGAGATTTACTGAAATAGAAGGGTTTGGAATGAACTTTAGTGGTTGAGAGAACAGAGATGCTATTGCACTGGATGGGGATTAAGAGAAAGAAATAGAGGCATCAAGCACACACACACACACACGCGCGCGCGCATGTGCACACAAATCTTGTCACCTTTTCTATTACCAAAAGCAAAATTGAAGCATGATTTGGTCCTTACAGTTTATTGTTAGAATTTATGTCTATTTTATAACCTCTCTGATACACACATAATTGCTACTTCTTCCTTAAAATCTGGGAATGTCCTCATTCATGGCAACTATGGTACAACTTCACTGGCAGTGGCAGCATGTTCACTGAAGGCTGAAACTAAAGTGAGAAAAAGGAACTGAAGATGAGTCATGTTTGGAGAAAGGTTGTCTTCACTCCTTTTAAAAGGTCCCTGACACTGTCCCACTGATTCAATTCCAAGAACATTAGTCCCTCTCTCTTCTGGACAGGAAGAGAGACATTTACTTCCAATGTCAGGAGGTCAAAAGATAGATTGTCATTTTCTTTTCACTTCCATAAGAAGTGCTCCCTTTTTGGGACCTCAGAAGAACAACTCCATGAGGATAATTACCAAGGACATGGGAGCCAGAGCTGGAAATAAGCCACCAGCTGCCTCCCAGTCTTGGAGAAAGCTTCGTTGTCTGTGGATTTCCACCTCGAACACTGAGGTTCGATACACCATTTCTGGCTATGAGCAGGGGCCATCTGCCCCTGGGACACTGAGCCAAAGCTGAAGAAGGACGTCAGCTCGTCAACAGCTGAGTTTTCTGGCCATAGTGGATAAACAGAACCCCAAGCGTCAGTAAAATCTCTGGCTCAGCCACAGGTCAACCTCTTTTGGAGTCTCAGGGCTCCTGAATCTTTCTGAGGGTCCTGTTAAGAGTAAGAGAAGCAGAAATTCCTTTCATGTGGATCGCCAATCCATGTGTAGAGGGAGACAGGCCTCTACTCCAATCACATTTGGGCAACCTGGCACTGGATTTAAGTTGACAAAGTGTTTGTGGACCTGGTCAGGTTTCTGTCATCAACACAATATAGCCCGTTCATGATTTTCTGGAAAAGAACTACTCACGTTCTATTTCTTAGATCCCCAGAGTTACAGAGGTCAGCAGAAAGACTGGTCAAATAGGAGGGGGAATAAATACATCATTGTCCCAGGTAGCCTTCCTCTAGCCACTGTTGAGTTTTAAGTGCTACTCTGAGAAAGCAAAAGGCTCATGAAAGTAGCAGGGCCTTCTATAGGCTGAGACAAGGGGCAGAAGGAGCAGCCATTTCCTCTCTTCCCCTTTGACTCATATTATCTTGCTTCCTTCTGTTACTGACATGACCAACGACCCCAGCCTCTTTCAATCCTTTCACCTCTATCCTTACTGATGCTGTAATATATTTTTACTGCTGACTCCCTAAAAATTAATCTAAACAGACACTTATTTATTATTCTGTATATGTCCGTGTATATTTGAAGATTTTTTGTAATCTAGTATTTTTTAAGTAGGCTTTGCATCTCCTAGTGATAGTTTTGTGTATGGTGTGAAGAAGGGTTCCACTTAAATTAGGATTTTTATATGGATACTCAGTTGTTCCACTGACACCTATTTCTGCAAGACTGTTCCACGTTCTAAGGCTGTGATTTTTTTCTTATCAGTTAAGGGCATATTTAGGCTGGTTTTGTTGCTTTTGTTTTCTCAGGACTGTCCACTCAGTTCCATTGGCCTATGGACCAATTCCTGCATCTAAATCTCAAACTCTTCATTACATTAGCTGCTTTGTAATTCTTACTATCTGGTAGACTAATTACTCTTTTTCAAGGATGTGTTGACTGTGCTTGACCATTTGCACGTCTTTATATTTAGAATCAGGTGATTCACACATGTCCAAAGCCATTTGGTTGTTTTGATTTGGGATTGCAATCAATCTATAGATTCTTTTTTCTGGAAGAACTAACATATTTAAAATATTGAAACTTCATACCTATGAATTTATTTTATTTTATATTTATGTAAGTCTTCATTAATATGTCTCAACAACATTTTACAATTTTCATCTGTAAAATTATTTTTGGTTAAGCATTTTTCTAAGATACTTGATACGGTAGTTTCTAAGATACTTGATACGGTAGTATGATAGGTTAAAAATTATATATTCTTTACTTTCATTTTCATACTCTCTCCCTGACAGAAAACAAAAGTTGACATTCTTTGGAATACCGATCTGATATTAGCAAACTGATATATTATTGTATATTGAATAAATTATCTTTAGTTCTTTTTTTTTTTTTTTGAGACGGAGTTTAGCTCTTGTTACCCAGGCTGGTGCGCGATGGCGCAATCTCGGCTCACCGCAACCTTCGCCTCCCGGGTTCAGGCAATTCTCCTGCCTCAGCCTCCTGAGTAGATGGGATTACAGGCTTGAGCCACTGCGCCCGGCCTAAATTATCTTTAGTTCTTCTGTGTTCTTTTCACGCACAGTCAAAGCATCCATTAATCACATAAGCTTGTTTCCAACTGGCCAATCCCCATCCCTTCATTTATTTCTTTTTGCATTACTACCCTTGCTACTACCTCTACTATAAAAAGTAATAGAAATACTCATAGCAGACACTCTAGGTTAAGTCCCAAGTTCAAACTAGAAGCTTTCAACATTTAAAATATTTAAAAGATACATCTGCTATAGGTTTTTCATACATATCTTTTATCTAGATTGGTAACTTTTCATATTTAATAAACTTTATTTTAGAATAATTTTAGATTTACAAGAAAATTATGACAGTGTTCAAGAATATTCTTATATGCCCCGTAATCTATTGCTTCTGTTTTTAAGGTCTTACATTGGTAAGTTTTCCTAAAACTAATAAACCAATATTGACACACAAACATCCACTGTTTATTAATAAACATACTTTACTCATATTTATTTCCTTGTCACAAAATTCTGTTTTCTGTCCCAGGATCCCCTGAGGATACTCCATTACATTTATTCATCATGCCTCTTTACATGCCCTCTGGCTGTGCCAATTCAGTGACACTTTTCTTGATTTTGAAAACATTGACAGTTTAGAGGTATATCGTCAGGTTGCCTTTGATTATGAATTATGTGACAATTTTGTTTTGATTTGATGTAGGTTATGTTTTCTTGGACGATGAAGTGTCATTCTTATCATATACTGACAGCACATAGTACCAACATAATTTATCACTGATGCTGTTAATTTCATTCCCATGGTGACATAGTGTTTTACAGTTTTCTTCAGGGTAAAGTCACATGATTTTTTTTTCCCTGAATCATACTGTCATATTGGGAAGGAAGGGAAGACCCAGGACCAGCCAGTAGAAAGATGAGACCTCTGAGGGAAAACTGCAGAGATTCCCTGCCCATGAAGAGGAGGATCCACAGAAACCAGCTTCCCACCTGCTGTCATCCCTGGGAGGACCTGGGGCATGGTGGCCCACTGTGATGTCCCCTGACATCTTAGTGGGCAGAAAGAGGAGAGGGCTGTGCTCAGGTGACTTTCATTTCAGATCACGAAGGGGGAAGGGACGCAGGACCTTCCAGGCATCCCCAGGATGATACAGAGGAAGAACCGCCGAGATATCCCACCCCAGACACAGAAGGACCCACAATAACCAGCCCTTGTTTTCACCCCTAGGAGGCCTTGGTCAGGACCATTAGGGAGAGATGTTAGCGTGATTCATTTCCTCTTGGGGGTTTCATGGAAATAGGAACCTGGATCTGAGGAACAGTCTCTGGAGAGGAGGGCGACAGAGTGGAGGCCCTGTCAGGAATAATATGCTAAAGAAGACTGAGGGGCCTTCCCACCGCATTTCAGACGGAGGGCAGTGGAGCCCTGCCTGGGGCCTGGGAGGCCCTATCCCACTGTGGTTGGATGTGTTGCTACCTCTCTTGCACCCTGCAGGTCTCAGGGATGGGAGGGGCTTATTTGGAGGTGAAAGACTCCGACCCACAGAGTCAGTGAGTCCAGGCGCAGCCCCTCGGGAAGGCTGGAAGGGAACACCCAAGGCTGGTAGTGTCCCTCCACTGTCCCTGTACCTGCTGCCAGCTCCGGAGGACCCCATCAGGGTCCCCAGATGTACAACATTCTGACTTCCATTTTGGGAGTAAGCAAAAAGGACAGGTTTTCTCGGAGGAGGGCAGTTTCAGTTAAGCAGAGGGAGAAGCCCCAGGGCTGGCCACTGAATAAAAAGAGAACTTTGTTGACAGACGGTAACCTCCCAACACAGAGGGGAGTCACAGGCTGCACCTAGCCACACTCCCTGCTGTCAGCCCTGGATAAAGGTGGGCTATGAGTGTGAAGGACTGCGGAGGTGGGAGGGAAGAGGTTGGTAAGGTTTAGGGAGTAAGCAAGAAGGCTTGCAGCGCATCCGAGAAATGGGAAGGAAGACGTGAAAAACAGGAGGAGGGGTGGGGGATGAAAACGAGGCTGAGAAGGGGTGGGGCTGTTCCTCCGCAGAGAGGAGGCCACACCCCACGCTGCCCCTGCCGTCAAGCCTGGTCAACCCCCGCAGGGTTCCCGGATGTGCTTTCCCAACCTCCATCTTCTAAGTCTTGGAAGGCATTTTGTGAGGAGGCGCGATCTAGGTCAGCCGAGGGAAGTCTTAGATCCAACCAGTTCTCAAGGTAAGGGCCCCGAGGGAGAACTGAGGGACCTACCACCACAAAGAGAAAAACCCCCGGCCCGCCCTGCCCCTGCTGTGGGACTTGGAGGTCACAGAGGGTAAGAGAGCAACCGAGGGCTGAGGTACAGGAATACGGCAACCGAGGGCTGAGGGACTGGTCCTCCTGACGGGAATAGGGCAACCGAGGGTGAGGGACGGGTCCTCCTGACGGGAATAGGACAACCGAGGGCTGAGGGACGGGTCCTCCTGACGGGAATACGGCAACGAAGGGCGGAGGGACAGGTCCTCCTGACGGGAATAGGGCAACCGAGGGCGGAGGGACGGGTCCTCCTAATGGGAATAGGGCAACTGAGGGCTGAGGGACGGGTCCTCCTGACGGGAATAGGGCAACCGAGGGCTGAGGTACGGGTCCTCGTAATGGGAATTCGGCAACTGAGGGCTGAGGGACGGGTCCTCCTGACGGGTATAGGGCCACCGAGTGCTGAGGGTCCGGGTCCTCCTGACGGGAATAGGGCAACCGAGGGCTGAGGGACGGGTCCTCCTGACGGGAATAGGGCAACTGAGGGCTGAGGGACGGGTCCTCCTGACGGGAATAGGGCAACCGAGGGCTGAGGTACGGGTCCTCGTAATGGGAATTCGGCAACTGAGGGCTGAGGGACGGGTCCTCCTGACGGGTATAGGGCCACCGAGTGCTGAGGGTCCGGGTCCTCCTGACGGGAATATGGCAACCGAGGGCTGAGGGACGGGTCCTCCTGACGGGAATATGGCAACCGAGGGCTGAGGGACGGGTCCTCCTGACGGGAATAGGGCAACCGAGGGCTGAGGGACGGGTCCTCCTGACGGGAATAGGGCAACCGAGGGCTGAGGGACGGGTCCTCCTGACGGGAATAGGGCAACCGTGGGCTGAGGGACGGGTCCTCCTGACGGGAATAGGGTAACCTAGGGCTGAGGAACGGGTCCTCCTGACGGGAATAGGGTAACCTAGGGCTGAGGGACGGGTCCTCCTGACGGGAATAGGGCAACCGAGGGCTGAGGTACAGGAATACGGCAACCGAGGGCGGATGGACGGGTCCTCCTGACGGGAATACGGCAACCGAGGGCGGAGCGACGGGTACTCCTGATGGAATAGGGCAACCGAGGGCTGAGGGACGGGTCCTCCTGACGGGTATAGGGCAACCGAGGCCTGAGGGACGGGTCCTCCTGATGGGAATAGGGCAACTGAGGGCTGAGGGACGGGTCCTCCTGACTGGAATAGGGCAATCGAGGGCTGAGGGATGGGTCCTCCTAATGGGAATAGGGCAACTGAGGGCTGAGGGACGGGTCCTCCTGACGGGAATAGGGCAACCGAGGGCTGAGGTACGGGTCGTCGTAATGGGAATTCGGCAACTGAGGGCTGAGGGATGGGTCCTCCTGACGGGTATAGGGCCACCGAGTGCTGAGGGTCCGGGTCCTCCTGACGGGAATAGGGCAACCGAGGGCTGAGGGACGGGTCCTCCTGACGGGAATATGGCAACCGAGGGCTGAGGGACGGGTCCTCCTGACGGGCATAGGGCAACCGAGGGCTGAGGGACGGGTCCTTCTGACGGGTATAGGAAAACCGAGGGTTGAGGGACGGGTCCTCCGGACAGGAATAGGGCATCCGAGGGCTGAGGGACGGGTCCTGACGGGAATAGGGCAACCGAGGGCTGAGGTACAGGAATACGGCAACCGAGGGCTGAGGGACGGGTCCTCCTGACGGGAATAGTGTGACTGAGGGCTGAGGTACAGGAATACGGCAACCGAGGGCTGAGGGACGGGTCCTCCTGATGGGAATAGGGCAACCGAGGGCTGAGGGATTCGTCTTCCTGACAGGAATATGGCAGCCCACGGCTGAGGGTCCCGTCCCCACCACAGGTATTTTCGTGCGAAAGCTGATATGAGGGTCAGGATTGGAATCTGTCCTCTGAGGTGGAGGTTTTCTCAGTCCTCCTCAATGTCTCCCTATTTATTCCCTACAGGGCCGGCACCTCCTCCCTTCAGTCGTGGGGATGCGGTGCTCAGCTCTCGGCAGCCATTTTCCTGCCAAGGCTGATATGAGGGTCAGGGTGGGAATTTGTAAGCAGTAGCTAAAAGTGTCTGTCTTTGTGTAAAACTAGAAAAGACAGGCGTGCCACCCCGAGGGCCTAGGAGTCTTCTGGCGACAGAGGAGGCTGAACCGGGGCTGCAGTCAGGGAGGCGGCACTGGGCTTCCTGGGGTGCCCGTCACAGGCAGGGCCTATTCACGACGGAGGAAGGGCCAAGGGTGGCCTGCAGCCCTCCCCTGGGACCAGACGTCTACAGGGGCACCCCTGAAATCCGGCAGTGCTGGTTCAGGTGAGTATCTTCCTCTGGTTTATTTTTTTAAATAAATCCTCTCTTTCCCCACGTTTTGCTCCCCCCACCCTTTCAGATCCTGCCATCGGGGCAGGCAGCTAGGTGGCCCTGTAGGGAATAAATAAGGAGACTTTGAGGAGAAACTGAGGGAACCCCCACCTCAGAGGACAGATTCCAACCCTATCCCTCATATCAGCCTTTGCGGGAAAATGGCTGCTGAGAGCTGAGAGACACATCACCAGGACCGAAGAAGGGAGGAGGTGCCGGCCCTGTAGGGAATAAATAGGAAGACTTTGAGGAGGACTGAGGGAACCCCCTCAAAGGACAGATTCCCACCCTGCTCCCAATATCAGCCCTGGCAGAGCTCCCCAGTTGGCTCAAGCTCAGCCGCAGCCCCTCAATTCTGAGTGAAGGGTGTCAGGGACGGGGAGGCCTTGGTCTGAGGGTCCCATGGCAAGTCAGCAGAGGCAGCCATTTTCCCTCAGTCCTCAACGTCTCCCTATTATTCCCTACAGGGCCGGCACCTCCTCCCTTAGGTCGTGGGGGTGTGTCGCTCATCTCTTGGCAGCCATTTTCCCGCCAAGGCTGATATGAGGGGCAGGGTTGGAATCTGTCCTCTGAGGTGGGGGTTCCCTCAGTCCTCAAAGTCTTACTGTTTATTCCCTACAGAGCTGGCACCTCCTCCCTTCGGTCGTGGGGATGCTGGGGATGCATCCCTCAGCTCTCGGCAGCCAATTTTTTGCCAAGGCTGGTTTGAGGGGCAGTGTTGAAATCTGTCCTCTGAGGTGGGGGTTCCCTCAGTCCTCAAAGTCTTACTGTTTATTCCCCACAGACCCGGCACCTCCTCCCTTCTTTGGTCGTGGGGATGCATCCCTCAGCACTCGGCAGCCATTTTCCTGCCAAGGCTGATATGAGGGTCAGGGTGGGAATCTGTAAGCAGTAACTAAAAGTGTCTGTTTTTGTCTAAAACTAGAAAAGGCAGGCGCACCACACCGAGGGCCTAGGAGTCTTCTGGCAACAGAGGAGGCTGAACCGGGGCTGCAGCCAGGGAGGCGGCACTGGGCTTCCTGGGGAGCCCGTCACAGGCAGGGCCTCTTCAGGAGGCAGGAAGGGCCAAGGTTGGCCTGCAGCCCTCCGCCAGGACCAGACGTCTGCAGGGGCTCCCCTGAAAGCCGGCAGTGCTGGTTCAGGTGAGTATCTTCCTCTGGTTTATTTTTTTAAATAAATCCTCTCTTTCCCGCCTTTTGCTCCCCCCACCCTTTCAGATCCTGCCATCGGGGCGGGCGGCTAGGTGGCCCTGTAGGGAATAAATAAGGAGACTTTGAGGAGGACTGAGGGAACCCCCACCTCAGAGGACAGATTCCAACCCTACCCCTCATATCAGCCTTAGTGGGAAAATGGCTGCCGAGAGCTGAACGACGCATCCCCAGGACCGAAGAAGGGAGGAGGTGCCAGCCCTGTAGGGAATAAATAGGGAGACTTTGAGGAGGACTGAGGGAACCCCCTCAGAGGACAGATTCCCACCCTGCTCCCCGTATCAGCCCTGGCAGAGCTCCCCAGTTGGCTCAAGCTCAGCCGCAGCCCCCTCATTTCTGAGTGAAGGGTATCAGGGACGGGGAGGCCTTGGTCTGAGGGTCCCATGGCAAGTCAGCAGAGGCAGCTGCCTCTGGTTGACAGAGGGAAGATTCCCAGGCCTGCTGGGGATAAGAGGGAGGACTGAAGTGTCATATGTGCTTCAGAGCAGATGTGAGGCTGCCCCGACTGTCCCCGTGGTAGAGTATGGGATGTGGCTGCCTCCCCACTACCTCCCTCTGCTCTCAGGGATGTGGAGGTTGCTCTGAGGTTTCCTCAAGCCGGCAGAGTGGTAGGGGATGTGGCCCGGTCTGAGAAAATGTGACAAAGCTAATAGAATTCTCAGTGGGCCACAATCCCCAGAACTGTGGGGCTCTGGATGTCTCGCCAGCCCCAGCTGCAATCTTTAGCCAGAGGGGCTCTGTTGCTGCTGCTGCTCCTTTTTTCGTTTGTTTTGGGAGAAGTTTCTGTCTTGTCACCCAGGCTGGCGTGCAATGGCATGGTTTCAGCTCACTGCAACCTCCACCTCCCGGGTTCAAGTGATTGTCCTGCTTCTGCCTCCAAGGCAGCTGGGATTACAGGTGTCCAACACCGTGCCTGGCTGATTTTTGTATTTTCAGTAAGACAGAAATACATGTTGTCCAGGCTGCTGTCGATCTTCTGACCTTAGGTGGTCCACCCGCCTTGGCCTCCCAAAGGGCTGGGATTACAGGCATGAGCCAGAGTGCTCAGCCCTCTCTCACTTCTTCTTGCAGGGGGTCCAGGAACCAGGAGTTGAAGACCAGGGTCTGAGTTCCACTTCTAAACTCAGCACAGCAGAGGAGGCCCAGGCAAAGCTAGGAGTCAAGGTGAGTGCACACCCTGACAGTGTACCAAGGGCCCTACTCCCACAAACAGAGCAGACATGGCAGCACCCAGTCCTAACCACCTACTGCCATTCCTGGTGCCCCAGGCTCTGCCAGCCAACTGTGCCCTGAGGTGCTTTCTCACATTCTCCTACAGGTTCCCACAGAGCAAACGCCCTAGGAAGACAGGCGATCTGTGAGGCCTAGAGTACCATCTTAAGAGAAGGAGACTTGTAAGGCAGCCTTGTCAGAGCCATCATGGGTGAGTTGCTCAGCTGAGACCGCTCACACGGTCCCTATCTCCCTCAGGCCTGTGGGACCCCATCATTCCCATTTGTGCTCATTCACACGTTTACCTGCTGCTCCTGAACAATATTCATCATGCCTCTCTTTCCAAACCTTTCATGCCCCAGCTTTGAGCAAGACTTCCAGAGCCCAATTTTAATACTGGAGTTGGTAGATTCACAGGATCCCACAGACGAGGAACAGGAGGAAACCTCCTCCATCTACTCTTCCTCTTTCTACTTTTAATTCTCCTCCTCTTCCTCCTACTCCTCCTCCTCATCTTCTTCCTTCTCCTCATTCTCATTTTTTTCTCTGATTTTGGATGTTCAAGCAGACAAGGAGATGCCTGCTGCTGGGATGCCGAGTCTTCTCCAGAGTTCTCCTGAGAATCCTCAAAGTCCACCCGAGGGGCCTGACCAGTCTCCTCTCCAGAGTCCTGTGAGCTCCTTCATCTCCTCCACTTCATTGAGTCTTCAGAGTCCTCCTGAGAGTCCTCAGAGTCCACCTGAGGGGCCTGTACAGTCTCCTCTCCTGAGTCCTGTGAGCTCGGCCTCCACTTCACTGAGTCTTCCCCTGAGTTCCCCTGAGTATCCCCAGAGTCCTCCTGAGGGGCCGGCCCAGTATCCTCTGCAGAGTCCTGTGAGCACCGTCATCTCCTCCACTTCATTGAGTCCTCAGAGTACTCCTGAGAGTCCTCAGAGTCCACCTGAGGGGCCTGTAGAGTCTCTTCTCCTGAGTCCTGTGAGCTCCTCCTCCACTTCACTGAGTCTTCCCCTGAGTTCCCCTGAGTATCCCCCGAGTCCTCCTGAGGGGCCTGCCCAGTCTCCTCTCCAGAGTCCTGTGAGCACCTTCATCTCCTCCACTTCATTGAGTCCTCAGAGTACTCCTGAGAGTCCTCAGAGTCCACCTGAGGGGCCTGTACAGTCTCCTCTCCTGAGTCCTGTGAGCTCCTCCTCCACTTCACTGAGTCTTCCTCTGAGTTCCCCTGAGTATCCCCAGAGTCCTCCTGAGGGGCCTGCCCAGTATCCTCTGCAGAGTCCTGTGAGCACCTTCATCTCCTCCACTTCACTGAGTCCTCAGAGTACTCCTGAGAGTCCTCAGAGTCCACCTGAGGGGCCTGAACAGTCTCCTCTCCTGAGTCCTGTGAGCTCCTCCTCCACTTCACTGAGTCTTCCCCTGAGTTCCCCTGAGTATCCCCAGAGTCCCCCTGAGGGGCCTGCCCAGTCTCCTCTCCAGAGTCCTGTGAGCACCTTTATCTCCTCCACTTCATTGAGTACTCAGAGTACTCCTGAGAGTCCTCAGAGTCCACCTGAGGGGCCTGTACAGTCTCCTCTCCTGAGTCCTGTGAGCTCCTCCTCCACTTCACTGAGTCTTCCCCTGAGTTCCCCGGAGTATCCCCAGAGTCCTCCTGAGGGGCCTGCCCAGTATCCTCTGCAGAGTCCTATGAGCACCTGCATCTCCTCCACTTCATTGAGTCCTCAGAGTACTCCTGAGAGTCCTCAGAGTCCACCTGAGGGGCCTGTACAGTCTCCTCTCCTGAGTCCTGTGAGCTCCTCCTCCACTTCACTGAGTCTTCCACTGAGTTCCCCTGAGTATCCCCAGAGTCCTCCTGAGGGGCCTGCCCAGTATCCTCTGCAGAGTCCTGTGAGCACATTCATCTCCTCCACTTCACTGAGTCCTCAGAGTACTCCTGAGAGTCCTCAGAGTCCACCTGAGGGTCCTGAACAGTCTCCTCTCCTGAGTCCTGTGAGCTCCTCCTCCACTTCACTGAGTCTTCCCCTGAGTTCCCCTGAGTATCCCCAGAGTCCTCCTGAGGGGCCTACCCAGTCTCCTCTCCAGAGTCCTGTGAGCACCTTCATCTCCTCCACTTCATTGAGTCCTCAGAGTCCTCCTGAGAGTCCTCAGAGTCCACCTGAGGGGCCTGTACAGTCTCCTCTCCTGAGTCCTGTGAGCTCCTCCTCCACTTCACTGAGTCTTCCCCTGAGTTCCCCTGAGTATCCCCAGAGTCCTCCTGAGGGGCCTGCCCAGTCTCCTCTCCAGAGTGCTCTGAGCGCCTTCGTTGCTTCCACTTCGTTGAATCTTTCCCAGCGTTTCCCTGAGAGTCCTCAGAGTCCTTCTGAGGGGCCTGCCCAGCCTGCTTTCCAAAGTTCTGTGTGGTCCTTCTCCTCCACTTCACTGAGTCTTCTCCAGAGCTTCCCTGAGAGTCCTCAGAGTCCTCCTGAGGGGCCTGCCCAGCCTATTTTCCAGAGATTTGTGTGCTCCTCCTCCTCCAGTTCATTGTGTCTTCTCCAGAGTTCTCCCAAGAGCCCTCAGAGTCCTCCTGAGGGGCCTGCACAGTCTCCTCTCCTGAGTCCTGTGAGCTGCTCCTCCACTTCACTGAGTCTTCCCCACAGTTTCCCTGAGAGTCCTCGGATTCCTCCTGAGGGGCTGTCCCAATCTCCTCTCCAGAGTCCTGTGAGCTCATTCTCCTCCTCCTCCCGCTCCTCCCCCTCCTCCCGCTCCACCCCCTCCTCCTCCTCTTCCTCCTCCTCCCCCTCTTCCTCCTCCTTCCCCTCTTCCTTCTCCCCCTCCTCTTCCTCCTCCTCTCCGTCCTCCTCCTCCTCTTCCCCCTCCCCCTCCTCCTCCTTTTCCTTCTCTTCCTCCTCCTCCTCCTCCTCCTCCAGTTCATTGAGATTTCTCCAGAGTTCTTCTGAGAGTCCTCAGAGTCCTCCTGAGGGGCCTGCGCAGTCTCCTCTCTTGAGTCCTGTGAGCTCCTCCTCCACTTCACTATGTCTTCCCCAAGTTCCCCTGAGAGTCCTCAGTGTCCTCCTGAGTGGCCTGCGCAGTCTCCTCTCCTGAGTTTTGTGAGCTCCTTCTCGTCAATTTCACTGCGTCTTTCCCTGAGTTCCCCTGAGAGTCCTCCTGAGGGGCCTGCCGAGTTTGCTCTCCCAAGTTTGGAGTGCTCCTTCTCCTCCACTTCACTGAATCTTCTCCAGAATTTCCCTGAGAGCCCTTCCGAGGGGCCTGCCCAGTCTCCTCCCCGGAGTCCTATGAGCTCCTTCTCCTCCCTCTCTTCCAGTCCACTGTGTCTTCTCCAGAGTTCCCTTGAGAGTCCTCAGAATCCTTCTGAGGGGCCAGCCCAGTCTGCTCTCCAGAGTTTTGTCCGCTCCGTCTTCTCTGACTGTTTGAGTCTTCTCGAGAGTTCTCCTGAGTGTCCCCAGAGTCCTCCTGAGGGCCCTTCCCAGTCTGCCCTCCAGGGTCCTGTGAGCTCCTCCTTCAGTCCATTGAGTTTTCCCCCGAGTTCCCCTGAGTGTCCCCAGAGTCCTCCTGAGGGCCCTTCCCAGTCTGCCCTCCAGGGTCCTGTGAGCTCCTTCTTTGGTCCATTGAGTTTTCCCCCGAGTTCCCCTGAGTGTCCCCAGAGTCCTCCTGAGGGCCCTTCTCAGTCTGCTCTCCAGGGTCCTGTGACCTCCTTCTCCTTCAGTCCATTGAGTTTCCCCCCGAGTTTCCCTGTGTGTCCCCAGAGTCCTGAGGGCCCTTTCCAGTCTGCCCTCCAGGGTCCTGTGACCTCCTTCTCCTTCAGTCCATTGAGTTTTCCCCCGAGTTCCCCTGTGTGTCCCCAGAGTCCTGAGGGCCCTTTCCAGTCTGCCCTCCAGGGTCCTGTGACCTCCTCCTCCTTCAGTCCATTGAGTTTTCCCCCGAGTTCCCCTGTGTTTCCCCAGAGTCCTAAGTGCTCTTCGAGGTCTGCCCTCCAGAGTCCTGTGACCCCCTTCTCCTTTGGTCCATTGAGTCTAACCCCGAGTTCCCCTGAGTGTTCTCAGAGTCCTTCCGAGGGGCCTGCCCAGTCTCCTCCCCAGAGTCCTGTAAGCTCCTTCTCCCTCTCTTCCAGTCCATTGTGTGTTCTCCAGAGTTCCCCTGAGAGGCCTCAGAATCCTTCTGAGGGGCCTGCCCAGTCTGCTCTCCAGAGTTTTGTGCGCTCCTTCTTCTCTGACTGTTTGAGTCTTCTCGAGAGTTCCCCTGAGTGTCCCCAGAGTCCTCCTGAGGACCCTTCCCAGTCTTCTCTTCAGGGTCCTGTGAGCTCCTTCTCCTTCAGTCCGTTTAGTCTTACCCCGGGTTCCCCTGTGTGTCCCCAGAGTCCTGCTGAGGGACCTTCCCAGTCTGCCCCCCAGGGTCCCGTGAGCACCTTCTCCTCATGTCCATTCCGTCTTCCCCTGAGTTCCCCTGAGTGTCCCCAGAGTCCTCCTGAGGGGCCTTCCCAGTCTGCTCTCCAGGGTCCTGTGGGCTCTTTCTACTCCTCCACTTTATGGAACCCATCCAGTGAAGAGTCCAGCAGCCCAGCAGATGAAGATACAAGAACCTCAGACACCTTACTAGACAGTGAGTCCTTGACAGATAATGAGTCCCTGACAGCCACTGAGCCCTTGGTTGCTCATACACTGGATGAAAAGGTGGATGAGTTGGTGCGGTTTCTTCTTCTCAAATATCAAGCGAAGGAGCCTGTCACAAAGGCAGAGATGCTGACGATTTTCGTCAACAGGTACAGGGGCTACTTTCCTATGATCTTCAGGAAAGCCCGTGAGTTCATAGAGATTCTTTTTGGCATTGCCCTGACAGAAGTGGGCCCCGACCACTCCTATGTCTTTGTAAATACATTAGACTTCACCTGTGAAGGGAGTCTGAGTGATGAGCAAGGCATGCCCCAGAACCGCCTCCTGACACTTATTCTGAGTATAATCTTCATAAAAGGCTCCTGTGCCTCTGAGGAGGTCATCTGGCATGTGCTGAATGGAATAGGGGTATGTGCTGGGAGGGAGCACTTCATCTTTGGGGAGCCCAGGGAGCTCCTCACTAAAGTTTGGGTACAGGAACATTACCTGGAGTACCGGGAGGTGCCCAACACTTCTCCTCCACGTTATGAATTTCTTTGGGGTCCCAGAGCCCATTCAGAAATCAGCAAGAGAAAAGTAGTAGAGTTTTTGGCCATGCTAAACAATACCGTCCCTCGTTCCTTTTCACCCTCATACAAGGATGCTTTGAAACATCTAGAAGAGAGAGCCCAGGCCACAATTGACACCACAGATGACTCCACTGTCACAGACGGTGCAAGCTCCGATGTTTCCCAGCCCGTCTTCCCCTGAGCAAAGTCTAAGGCAGAATCTTCCTTTTGAGTGTGAACAGGGCAGGCGAGTTTCTATGCCATGGAGGGCCCGGGGGAAGCTGGCGAGAACACAGTGTTTGCGTTTCTGTTCCATATGGTAGTTAAGGGATTTACCTATTTTACTTTGGGGTATTTTTCAATGCTCTTCCTTTTAATAACAGGTTTAAATAGCTTCAGAAACTTAGTTTATGGAGTTTATGAATATTAGTCACACATGTGCTGCTGTTTAACTGGTTGAGGGGTAACGGTTTGATAGTTTGTAAAACACACACACACACACACACACACGATTGGGAAAACCTGCCTTATCTGTGGTCTGTCACACTTTAATATGGTATTACTGTAGCAATTTTCTTTAAACTGTAAAAGAACTCGAATTGAATAGTGGAACAAAACAAAGGATTGTTAATATTTGCATTTCCTCATACCCTTTAGTCTGCTGTTCTTGAAAATTAAAGATACGTACCTGGTTTTCTTGGCTTGTTTAATAAAGTAGCAGAGATTAAATGATAATAAATAAAAATATCACGGACTCCTTTATTTGACGAACATTATATCAGCATTTGCTCATGGAAGTTACGTTTAGTAGTGAAGTTACTATTAAAAGCAAGACTTACACCTACTCATAAAACGGTAGAGTATAGGTACAGAAGCCATATCGGAAACTTGGTAAGATTTTTCTCTTCAATCTAAAGAGTAAGTTTAAAAAGGAGTGGGGCGGTGAGACTCCAGTTGGAGCCTTCAAACAAAAAGGCCCTGAGCTAAGGCAGTTTTGGGCTTCGGGAAACTGCACTTGCTTCTGTGGGAGCTGATTTTTATGAAGCTGGGTGGTGGCGGGGCCCAGACTCTCAGAAGGTGAGAGAAAAGCCTGGAATGGAAAGCTACTTGAGCAGTTCCCTCTGGGTGAAGGATGAGGCAGAGAGGAGTCTCCACATGGGGAAGTAATGGGAGGTGTCCTGCAGCTCTTGTGCACTTGAACACAGTACTTTTGTCCAGCCCCAGGACTTTCCCACGTTATAGCACTGTCCTTTCGATCTCCCGTGTGCTCTCGTGCAACTATGGAACCTGGCCTGCTGACTAACTTGTCACCGTGTTTCCCACTCTGAAGGCTGTACCCAGCTCTCAGTGCCAGACGCCATTGACATCTACCCTTCCCCTAACATAGACCACTCTCTGTCTCTGCAGAAGTTCCCTGACTGATCCATCCCTCTCCCTGGCTCCTCTGTGATAACAGACTTTGATGTGAATATACACTTTGAATAGTGACATTTCCATACATATGCTGGGCATCTTCACCACATTCTCAACATATTTCCAAATAGACTGCAGAGTAAAATCTAATTTGTCACACAATATACTTGTTTTAGGGATGTAAGCCTAAGGTAGATATAGCCTATTTGAAATCATCCTAATATTTGATATTTGTAGTAGGATTTTAATAAAATGCATTATTTGAAACGGGGCGCTGAACCCAAATACAGATGAATGAGCTTTTGTAGGTGATCAAATGCCAATCTTTCCTTAATAAACTTTGTAGATAAGGAAAGACTATAGAAATCACTTTGCAAATGATCTACAAGAAGACGAATTTCTAAAAAAACAAAAAAATCTTGAAACCTGCCTAGGAGGTAACAAGAGTACTTTGTGGACATGCCAGCTCTGATGAGAAAAAAAAAGTTATAGTTAAACATCCTTCCCCTGTCTCTTTTCTGTGTACCTGCCCCACAGGAAAATCTTTTTTTTGCAGTGTGCCACAGGCACATGTATAGCTGTTCAGGAATGTTCCATCGTATGGAGGGTGGCCGAGGCTCACAGGTAGATTATTTATCATACACCAAAAATAGGAGAGTATTGTCAGCCTAAAGAAATTATATAGCTTATTAAAAGGACAGTGCAAAGTGCTATTGAGGGAATAAGGTTGACTCTCCCTGCCAAGATTTACAAAATTGTTTTAAAACAGGATGTAATCTTGTTTTTGAAACGACGAGTCACTCTGTTGGTGCAAGAAAATGTTGGAAGATTTCAAGGCTATGCTGACATTCCCAGAAATAATTCCAAGAAATGAAGAAACTGTCATAAATTATAGTAGTTGGTTTTAATTGAGCACCATAATAACATATGGGAGAAACTACAAGTGCCCATTTTCATTTGTCTACCTCACCTTCTTGGGTGGTTCATTTATAGTTAGAAGCCAGTGCATCATTCCCGTGCTTTTGTTTCTGTTGAGCAGTTAACATGTGTTGTGATGTGGAGCTACAATTGGAAAGCAGCTTGGATTCTTGGGTCAGGCCAAAGCCAGGATGGACTGTGTATTAGTCTATTATACCATAACAGAATACCACAAACTGGGTGACTGAAAAAACAGAAATTATTTTCTCACATTTCTGGAGGCTAAATATCTAAGGTGAAGATGTTGGCCAGTTTGATTTCTTCCCTGGCCTCTCCGTGGCTTGCTGATTGCTACTTTCTCAGTGAATTCTTACATGGTTGTTCCTTAGTCTGTGTGTCTGTATCTTAATCTGCTCTGCTTATGAGGACACCAGTCATATTGAATATGATCCTAACCGTAAAATCTCATTTTACCTTAATTGCCTCTTCAAAGGTTCTGTCTCCAAATACGATGACATTCTGTAGTACTGGGGTTAAGACGTGGATATATCATTTTGGGGAGAGGGGGCACAATTCAGCCCATAACACCCTGCCAACTCAAACCGGAATTTATGTGCACAAAAATCAACTTGTGTTAAGCCATTTAACTTTCAGGAGATTTTTTTCTGTTCCATCAGCTTGCTTTCACTTAATCTGACTACTACAGTACTCCTCTTGCTTTTCTTAGGGTTATCTCAGTATTTTAGTTAAAAGTAAATAGCACATGTATTTTTGTGGCAAAAAATTCCAAAAATACATAGAAATTGCATTTTTTCCTTTAAAATTTTCAAAATTCAGCCTCCTACTCAGAAGTTTCCACAAGTAACAATGTGGCTGTGTAAATTTTGAAAGATGATTTTTGATTTCTGGCTTTTATAAAGATAGATGTGCTATTTTGTATATACACATGTATGTATACACACACGTATGTAATGATATAATGATATACATATAGATCTGTGACACTTGCCTTTGCCACTATTATAGGTTCAATTGCCTCTTCTGCAAAATTCTACATTTTTAAAATTAAAATGTGACATGACTTGTAGATAGGATTATTTCAAAGGCAATCAAGTTAAAATGAGGTTATTAATGCTGGCCTCAATGGAAATCACTAAAAAGGGGATATGTAACAAACCTACACTTGCATCTCTGAATTTAAAAGTTAAATAAAAATTTTAGATACATACATCAAATTTAACTGCTCTGTAAAGTTTTATTTATTTAGACAAATATCTGTGAGTTTCCACCTTGAGCTCTTGGGGTTTGATACACCAATCCTGGCTATGAGCAGAGGCTATCTGCTTGAACCCAGCAGGCGGAGGTTGTGGTAAGCCGAGATCGCTCCGTTGCACTCCAGCCTGGGTAACAGGCTAGCGAAACTCCATCTCAAAAAAAAAAAAAAAAAAAAAAGAATCAGGTAATTCATACATGCCTTCATGTCCAAAGGCATTTTGTTGTTTTGATTTGGGATCACGATTAAACTATAGATTCCATTTTAACACAAACTATTGGAACTTCATTCCCATGAATTTATTTTATTTTATGTTCTTGTGGGTCTTCATTAATATTTTAAATAACATTTTCACAGTTTTTCTGTAATGTTTTAATTTTTTTGTTTAAAAATTTTTAATGTACTTAATGTTTGGAATGATAGGTTAGAGGTTATATTTTATTTCTCTTTCTTTCTTTCTTGTTTCTTTCTCTCTCTCTCTCTTTCTTTCTTTTGTTCCTTTTTTGATAGAGTCTCACTCTGTCGCCCAGGCTGGAGTGTAATGGTGTTATCTCAGCTTACATCCTCCACCTTCCAGGTTCGAGCAGTTCTTCTGCCTCAGCCTCCCGAATACATGGGATTACAGGCACCCACCATCATGCCTGGCTAATTTTTGTATTTTTGGTAGAGATGGGATTTCACCATGTTGGTCAGGCTAGTCTTGAACTCCTGACCTTTGGCCTCCCAAAGTGCTGGGATTACAGGCATGAGCCACCGTGCCCATCCTTATTTTCAAAGTCATTTTTGCCACAAGAAAATAAAGTTCATTTTTTTCTATGTTGACTTTATACCTAGGAAACTTATGTATTTTCATCTATCGATAAGCTTGGCCGTTCCACTGTTGCCGATGGTATGCCCATTTGAGCATAGACTCTGCTGCTGCTGCCCCAGTGAAGCACTTTAGACAACAACCTCCATCAGAGTGTTGTCAGTGGACAGGGAACACCTCAGCATCTGTAGCACAGCAGTTGCTTTACCTCACAGAGAGAGAGAGAACAATGATGTGGGCTTGGTACCAGTCCCCAAAGTTGGAGTGCACAGCTCAAGAGTCCTGACCTGAGCTTTTGCCCACTAAAATCTTTCAGAAATGAAGCCACTTGATAGAACCCAGCACTGTCAAACCCTCAAAGGCATCAAAGAGTAAAAAGAATAAAAAACCCATTCAACTTATAGCAAATTCAATTAATAAAGGAACATCAGCCCACGCAGATAAGAAAGAACCAGCACGAGAACTCTAGCAACTCCAAAAACCAGAGCATATTCTTCCCTCCACACTACCACACTAGTTCTCTAGCAATGGTTCTAAACCAGGGTGAAATGGCTACAATGACAGAGAATTTAGAGTCCGGATAGGGACACAGATAATGGAGATTCAGGAAAAAGTCAAAACCAAGGAATCTAAGGAATCCAATAAAATGATATAAAAGCTGAAAGATGACATCTTCATTTTAAGAAGGAACCAAGCAGAGCTGATAAGGCTTAAAATCTCACCTAAGGAATCTCATATTACAATTGAAAGTATTAAAAACAGAATAGACTCAGCAGAGGAAAAATCTCTGAGCTGGAAAACCAGTTCTCCGAATCAACTCAGTCAGAAAAAATGTATATAGAAAAAGGAATAAGAAATAATGACTCAAACCTCTGAGAAACTTGAGATTATGTAGTGAGACCAATCCTGCAACACATTGACATCCCTAAAAGGGAGGGAGAAAGAACAAGCAACTTGTTAAACAAATTTAAGGGTATCATTCACAAAAATTACTCTGCCCTTACTGGATGGTCAGCATTCAAATTCAGGAAATCCAGAGAACCCCTGTGAGATGCTATATAAGACAAGCGTCCCCAAGTCACATAGTTGTCATATTCTTCAACGTCAACATGAAAGAAAAAAATATTAAAGGCAGCTGGAGAGAAGGAACAGGTCAGCAACAAAGGGAACCCTATCAGAGTGGACATCAGAATGGATCAATACCAGGTAATATTTAGGCTGGTAAGCAGCAACATCACTCTCTGAATGAATAATCATTTACATAGTAGTTGCATATGTTTATGGGTTACATGAGATATTTTGATATAGGCTTGCTATGTGTGATAATCATATCAGGGTAAATGGGTTATCCATCAGGACAGACATTGATCCTTTGTGTTGCAGTCCGATTATACTCTTTTAGTTATTTCAAAATGTAAAATTAAATCATTTTGACTATGGACATCCTGTTGCGATAGCAAATACTAGGTCTTATTGATTCTCTCTAACTGTTTTTTCTCTCTAACATCCTCATTTCTCCCCCAGCCCCCATCTACATTTCTCAGTCTCAGGTAATCATCCTTCTACACTATCTCCATGAATTCAGTTGTTTTGATTTTTAGCTTCCACAAATATGCAAGAACGTGTGAAATTTGCCTCTCTGTGCCTGGCTTATTTCACTTACCATAATGACCTCCAGTGCCATCCATGTTGATGCAAATGACAGGATCTCATTGTTTTTTATGGCTGAATAGTACTCCATTGTAATACAATTTCTTTATCTATTCATCTGCTGAGGGACACTTGGGTTGCTTCCTCATCTTGGCTATGGTGAATTGTGCTGCAGCAAACAGGGTCGTGCAGATATCTCTTCAGTGTACTGATTTTCTCCATTGACTGATTTTCTTCATTTTGGGTAAATACCTGGGAGTGAGATAACTGGATAGTATGGTAGCTTTGTTTTCATTTCTGGAGGAATCTCCAAGCTGTTATCCATAGTGGTTTTATCAGTGTACATTCCCATCAACAGTATAAACAAACTGGGGTACATCTATACAATGGAATACTATGCAGCCATAAAATGAAAAGACCTATCAAGCCATGGAAAGACAGGGATGAACATAAAAAGCATGTTGCTAAGTGAAATAAGTTAATCTGATACCTTGGTTATCGTTTACTCCTATTTCAATTATCCAAACGATGGTGCCCTTTTTATGTTAAGATTCCTGGCCAGACACAATACCTCGTGCCGTAATCCCTGCACTTTGGGAGGCTGAGGAGGGTAACTCACCAGAGGTCAGGGGTTCAAGATGAGCCTGTCCAACATGGTGAAACCCCATCTCTAATAAAAATAAAATAAAAATAAAAATAGCTGGGCATGGTGGCACGAACCTGTAATCCTAGGCACTCAGGAAGCGGAGGCACAAGAATTGCTTGAATCTGGAAGGCAGAGGTTATACGGAGCCAAGATAGCACCATTGGACTCCAGTCTAGGTAACAGAGTGAGACTCCCTCTCAAGTTAAAAAAGAAAAAAAAGATTCCTGCGTGACAAGGTTGGATTGATCCAGTAACATCAATTATATTTGATACAATCTCATTCTCATATTGACTTTTTTGTTTGGGGACCTCCCATGTCAAAACTCATAGGTTGTAACCTAATCCCGAATATTATTATATTTTCATTATGTCAGTATATTTTGTTATGGCAACCCAAAATGACTACCACAGTCCTCTATATTCTCTGACTCTCTTTCTGGTACTCTCCCTAGCAAGTGGGCTTCTAGTATTTTCCACTATGCCATCCACTTACTTTGAATGGTCTGCTCCCTCCCTGGCTAAATAGTGAGGGGAGAGAAAAATAACAGAGAAGTTTGCTCTCACCCTCTTCGGAACAAAGATCTTCTTGTCAGAGAAAAGGATGTTCCTACTCAGAGTTTTAGATGCCTGACCAGCTCTTGCTAGTGCTCTCCTTGGAGGATTACACCTTCACGAATGGGGCTGGCTTGCCTGGAGGCAAACCTGGAAGAAGAAAGGAATTTCTCATGTTCTCTTTGTCTTTTAGGAATCTCCTATCCTATTTATTCAAACACAAAGTTTTCCTAGAAAAAAATGAAAAGTAAATTGGAGGCCTTTCCTTAGAACACTTTATCTCTATATCATGTGAAATTCCTCAGTTTTATATGCCTTTAAGTCCAAGCGGGAAGGCAGAGAAGGAAAAAAAGTAAAGAAAACTACCCACAATATCAAAATATTACTCTGAATTCAAGTCAACCTCTTTTGGAGTCTCAGGGCTCCTGAATCTTTCTGAGGGTCCTGTTAAGAGTAAGAGAAGCAGAAATTCCTTTCATGTGGATCGCCAATCCATGTGTAGAGGGAGACAGGCCTCTACTCCAATCACATTTGGGCAACCTGGCACTGGATTTAAGTTGACAAACTGTTTGTGGACCTGGTCAGGTTTCTGTCATCAACACAATATAGCCCGTTCATGATTTTCTGGAAAAGAACTACTCACGTTCTATTTCTTAGATCCGCAGAGTTACAGAGGTCAGCGGAAAGACTGGTCAAATAGGAGGGGGAATAAATACATCATTGTCCCAGGTAGCCTTCCTCTAGCCACTGTTGAGTTTTAAGTGCTACTCTGAGAAAGCAAAAGGCTCATGAAAGTAGCAGGGCCTTCTATAGGCTGAGACAAGGGGCAGAAGGAGCAGCCATTTCCTCTCTTCCCCTTTGACTAATATTATCTTGCTTCCTTCTGTTACTGACATGACCAACGACCCCAGCCTCTTTCAATCCTTTCACCTATATCCTTACTGATGCTGTAATATATTTTTACTGCTGACTCGCCAAAAAGTAATCTTAGACAGACCCTTATTTATTATTCTGTATATGTCCGTGTATATTTGAAGATTTTTTGTAATATAGTATTTTTTAAGTAGGCTTTGCATCTCCTAGTGATAGTTTTGTGTATGGTGTGAAGAAGGGTTCCACTTAAATTAGGATTTTTATATGGATACTCAGTTGTTCCACTGACACCTATTTCTGCAAGACTGTTCCACGTTCTAAGGCTGTGATTTTTTTCTTATCAGTTAAGGGCATATTTAGGCTGGTTTTGTTGCTTTTGTTTTCTCAGGACTGTCCACTCAGTTCCATTGGCCTATGGACCAATTCCTGCATCTAAATCTCAAACTCTTCATTACATTAGCTGCTTTGTAATTCTTACTATCTGGTAGACTAATTACCCTTTTTCAAGGATGTGTTGACTGTGCTTGATCACTTTGCACGTCTTTATATTTAGAATCAGGTGATTCACACATGTCCAAAGCCATTTGGTTGTTTTGATTTGGGATTGCAATCAATCTATAGATTCTTTTTTCTGGAAGAACTAACATATTTAAAATATTGAAACTTCATACCTATGAATTTATTTTATTTTATATTTATGTAAGTCTTCATTAATATGTCTCAACAACATTTTACAATTTTCATCTGTAAAATTATTTTTGGTTAAGCATTTTTCTAAGATACTTGATATGGTAGTATGATAGGTTAAAAATTATATATTCTTTACTTTCATTTTCATACTCTCTCCCTGACAGAAAACAAAGTTGACATTCTTTGGAATACCGATCTGATATTAGCAAACTGATATATTATTGTATATTGAATAAATTACCTTTAGTTCTTTTTTTTTTTTTTGAGACGGAGTTTAGCTCTTGTTACCCAGGCTGGCGCGCAATGGCGCAATCTCGGCTCACCGCAACCTTCGCCTCCCGGGTTCAGGCAATTCTCCTGCCTCAGCCTCCTGAGTAGATGGGATTACAGGCTTGAGCCACTGCGCCCGGACCAAATTATCTTTAGTTCTTCTGGGTTCTTTTCACGCACAGTCAAAGCATCCATTAATCACATAAGCTTGTTTCCAACTGGCCAATCCCCATCCCTTCATTTATTTCTTTTTGCATTACTACCCTTGCTACTACCTCTACTATAAAAAGTAATAGAAATACTCATAGCAGACACTCTAGGTTAAGTCCCAAGTTCAAACTAGAAGCTTTCAACATTTAAAATATTTAAAAGATACATCTGCTATAGGTTTTTCATACATATCTTTTATCTAGATTGGTAACTTTTCATATTTAATAAACTTTATTTTAGAATAATTTTAGGTTTACAAGCAAATTATGACAGTGTTCAAGAATATTCTTATATGCCCCGTAATCTATTGCTTCTGTTTTTAATGTCTTACATTGGTAAGTTTTCCTAAAACTAATAAACCAATATTGATACACAAACATCCACTGTTTATTAATAAACATACTTTACTCATATTTATTTCCTTGTAACAAAATTCTGTTTTCTGTCCCAGGATCCCCTGAGGATACTCCATTACATTTATTCATCATGTCTCTTTAGATGCCCTTTGGCTGTGCCAATTCACTGACACTTTTCTTGATTTTGAAAACCTTGACAGTTTGGAGGTATATGGTCAGGTTGCCTTTGATTGTGAATTATGTGATAATTTTGTTTTGATTTGATGTAGGTTATGTTTTCTTGGACGATGAAGTGTCATTCTTATATACTGACAGCACATAGTACCAACATAATTTATCACTGATGCTGTTAATTTCATTCCCATGGTGACATAGTGTTTTACAGTTTTCTTCAGGGTAAAGTCACATGATATTTTTTTTTCCCGGTGTCATACTCTCATATTGGGAAGGACGGGAAGACCCAGGACCAGCCAGTAGTCAGATGAGACATCTGAGGGAAAACTGCAGAGATTCCTTGCCCATGAAGAGGAGGATCCACAGAAACCAGCTTCCCACCTGCTGTCATCCCTGGGAGGCCCTGGGGCTGGTGGCCCACTGTGATGTGCCCTGACATCTTAGTGGGCAGAAAGAGGAGAGGGCTGTGCTCAGGTGACTTTCATTTCAGATCACGAAGGGGGAAGGGACGCAGGACCTTCCAGGCATCCCCAGGATGATACAGAGGAAGAATCGGCGAGGTATCCCACCCCAGACACAGAAGGACCCACAATAACCAGCCCTTGTTTTCACCCCTAGGAGGCCTTGGTCAGGACCATTAGGGAGAGATGCTAGCGTGATTCATTTCCTCTTGGGGGTTTCATGGAAATAGGAACCTGGATCTGAGGAACAGTCTCTGGAGAGGAGGGCGACAGAGTGGAGGCTCTGTCAGGAATAATATGCTAAAGAAGACTGAGGGGCCTTCCCACCGCATTTCAGACGGAGGGCAGTGGAGCCCTGCCTGGGGCCTGGGAGGCCCTATCCCACTGTGGTTGGATGTGTTGCTACCTCTCTTGCACCCTGCAGGTCTCAGGGATGGGAGGGGCTTATTTGGAGGTGAAAGACTCCGACCCACAGAGTCAGTGAGTCCAGGCGCAGCCCCTCGGGAAGGCTGGAAGGGAACACCCAAGGCTGGTAGTGTCCCTCCACTGTCCCTGTACCTGCTGCCAGCTCCGGAGGACCCCATCAGGTTCCTCAGATGTACAACTTTCTGACTTCCATTTTGGGAGTCAGCAAAAAGGAGACGTTTTCTCGGAGGAGGGCAGTTTCAGTTAAGCAGAGGGAGAAGCCCCAGGGCTGGCCACTGAATAAAAAGAGAACTTTGTTGACAGATGGTAACCTCCCAACACAGAGGGGAGTCACAGGCTGCACCTAGCCACACTCCCTGCTGTCAGCCCTGGAAAAAGGTGGGCTATGAGTGTGAAGGACTGCGGAGGTGGGAGGGAAGAGGTTGGTAAGGTTTAGGGAGTAAGCAAGAAGGCTTGCAGCGCATCCGAGAAATGGGAAGGAAGACGTGAAAAACAGGAGGAGGGCTGGGGGATGAAAACGAGGCTGAGAAGGGGTGGGGCTGTTCCTCCGCAGAGAGGAGGCCACACCCCACGCTGCCCCTGCCGTCAAGCCTGGTCAACCCCCGCAGGGTTCCCGGATGTGCTTTCCCAGCCTCCATCTTCTAAGTCTTGGAAGGCATTTTGCGAGGAGGCGCGATCTAGGTCAGCCGAGGGAAGTCTTAGATCCAACCAGTTCTCAAGGTAAGGGCCCCGAGGGAGAACTGAGGGACCTACCACCACGAAGAGAAAAACCCCCGGCCCGCCCTGCCCCTGCTGTGGGACTTGGAGGTCACAGAGGGTAAGAGAGCAACCGAGGGCTGAGGTACAGGAATACGGCAACCGGGGGCTGAAGGACGGGTCCTACTAATGGGAATACGGTAACTGAGGGCTGAGGGATGGGTCCTCCTGACGGGAATAGGGCAACCGAGGGCTGATACGGGGAGCAGGGTGGGAATCTGTCCTCTGAGGTGGAGGTTCCCTCAGTCCTCTTCGAAGTCTCCCTATTTATTCCCTACAGCCGGCACCTCCTTCCTTCAGTCGTGGGGATGCGGCGCTCAGCTCTCGGCAGCCATTTTCCTGCCAAGGGTGATATGAGGGTCAGGGTGGGAATCTGTAAGCAGTAACTAAAAGTGTCTGTCTTTGTCTAAAACTAGAAAAGGCAGGCGCGCCACCCCGAGGGCCTAGAAGTCTTCTGGCGACAGAGGAGGCTGAACCGGCGCTGCAGCCAGGGAGGCGGCACTGGGCTTCCTGGGGAGCCCGTCACAGGCAGGGCCTATTCACGACGCAGGAAGGGCCAAGGTTGGCCTGCAGCTCTCCGCCAGGACCAGACGTCTGCAGGGGCTCCCCTGAAAGCCGGCAGTGCTGGTTCAGGTGAGTATCTTCCTCTGGTTTATTGTTTTAAATAAATCCTCTCTTTCCCCGCCTTTTGCTCCCCGCACCCTTTCAGATCCTGCCATCGGGGCGGGCGGCTAGGTGGCCCTGTAGGGAATAAATAAGGAGACTTTGAGGAGGACTGAGGGAACCCCCACCTCAGAGGACAGATTCCAACCCTCTTCCTCATATCAGCCTTGGCAGGAAAATGGCTGCCGAGAGCTGAGCGACGCATCCCCAGGACCGAAGAAAGGAGGAGGTGCCAGCCCTGTAGGGAATAAATAGGGAGACTTTGAGGAGGACTGAGGGAACCCCCTCAGAGGACAGATTCCCACCCTGCTCCCCGTATCAGCCCTGGCAGAGCTCCCCAGTTGGCTCAAGCTCAGCCGCAGCCCCCTCAATTCTGAGTGAAGGGTGTCAGGGACAGGGAGGCCTTGGTCTGAGGGTCCCATGGCAAGTCAGCAGAGGCAGCTGCCTCCGGTAGGCAGAGGGAAGAGTCCCAGGCCCTGCTGGGGATAAGAGGGAGGACTGAAGTGTCATATGTGCTTCAGAGCAGATGTGAGGCTGCCCCGACTGTCCCCGTGGTAGAGTATGGGATGTGGCTGCCTCTTCACTACCTCCCTCTGCTCTCAGGGATGTGGAGGTTGCTCTGAGGTTTTGCCTCAGGCCGGCAGAGTGGTAGGAGATGTGGCCCGGTCTGAGAAAATGTGACAACGCTAATACAACTCTCAGTGGGCCACAAACCCCAGAACTGTGGGGCTCTGGATGTCTCGCCAGCCCCAGCTGCAATCTTTAGCCAGAGGGGCTCTGTTGCTGCTGCTGCTCCTTTTGTTTGTTTGTTTTGGGAGAAGTTTCTCTCTTGTCACCCAGGCTGGCGTGCAATGGCATGGTTTCAGCTCACTGCACCCTCCACCTCCCGGGTTCAAGTGATTGTCCTGCTTCTGCCTCCCAAGTAGCTGGGATTACAGGTGTCCACCACCGTGCCTGGCTGATTTTTGTATTTTCAGTAAGACAGAAATACATGTTGTCCAGGCTGCTCTCGAACTCCTGACCTTAAGTGGTCCACCCGCCTTGGCCTCCCAAAGGGCTGGGATTACAGGCATGAGCCAGAGTGCCCAGCCCTCTCTCACTTCTTCTTGCAGGGGTTCCAGGAACCAGGAGTTGAAGACCAGGGTCTGAGTTCCACTTCTAAACTCAGCACAGCAGAGGAGGCCCAGGCAAAGCTAGGAGTCAAGGTGAGTGCACACCCTGACAGTGTACCAAGGGCCCTACTCCCACAAACAGAGCAGACATGGCAGCACCCAGTCCTAACCACCTACTGCCATTCCTGGTGCCCCAGGCTCTGCCAGCCAACTGTGCCCTGAGGTGCTTTCTCACATTCTCCTACAGGTTCCCACAGAGCAAACGCCCTAGGAAGACAGGTGATCTGTGAGGCCTAGAGTACCATCTTAAGAGAAGGAGAGTTGTAAGGCAGCCTTTGTCAGAGCCATCATGGGTGAGTTGCTCAGCTGAGACCGCTCACACGGTCCCTATCTCCCTCAGGCCTGTGGGACCCCATCATTCCCATTTGTGCTCATTCACACGTTTACCTGCTGCTCCTGAACAATATTCATCATGCCTCTCTTTCCAAACCTTTCATGCCCCAGCTTTGAGCAAGACTTCCAGAGCCCAATTTTAATACTGGAGTTGGTAGATTCACAGGATCCCAGAGACGAGGAACAGGAGGAAACCTCCTCCATTTTCTCTTCCTCTTTCTACTTTTATTTCTCCTCCTCTTCCTCCTACTCCTCCTCCTCATCTTCTTCCTTCTCCTCATTCTCATTTTTTTCTCTGATTTTGGATGTTCAAGCAGACAAGGAGATGCCTGCTGCTGGGATGCCGAGTCTTCTCCAGAGTTCTCCTGAGAATCCTCAGAGTCCACCGGAGGGGCCTGACCAGTCTCCTCTCCAGAGTCCTGTAAGCCCCTTCGTCTCCTCCACTTCATTGAGTCTTCAGAGTCCTCCTGAGAGTCCTCCTGAGAGTCCTCAGAGTCCACCTGAGGGGCCTGTACAGTCTCCTCTCCTGAGTCCTGTGAGCTCCTCCTCCACTTCACTGAGTCTTCCCCTAAGGTCCCCTGAGTATCCCAAGATTCCTCCTGAGGGGCTTTCCCAGTCTCCTCTCCAGAGTCCTGTGAGCACCTTCGTCTCCTCCACTTCACTGAGTCTTCAGAGTCCTCCTGAGAGTCCTCAGAGTCCACCTGAGGGGCCTGTACAGTCTCGTCTCCTGAGTCCTGTGAGTTCCTCCTCCACTTCACTGAGTCTTCCCCTGAGTTCCCCTGAGGATCCCCAGAGTCCTCCTGAAGGACCTACCCAGTCTCCTCTCCAGAGTCCTGTGAGCACCTTCGTCTCCTCCACTTCATTGAGTCTTCAGAGTCCTCCTGAGAGTCCTCAGAGTCCACCTGAGGGGCCTGTACAGTCTCCTCTCCTGAGTCCTGTGAGCTCCTCCTCCACTTCACTGAGTCTTCCCCTGAGTTCCCCTGAGTATCCCCAGAGTCCTCCTGAGGGGCCTGCCCAGTCTCCTCTCCAGAGTACCCTGAGCCCCTTCCTCTCTTTCACTTTGTTGAATCTTTCCCAGAGTTTCCCTGAGAGTCCTCAGAGTCCTCCTGAGGGGCCTGCCCAGCCTATTTTCCAGAGTTTTGTGTGCTCCTTCTCCACTTCACTGAGTCTTCTCCAGAGTTTCCCTGAGAGTTCTCGGAGTTCTCCCGAGGGGCCTGTGCAGTCTCCTCCCCAGAGTCCTGTGAGCTCCTCCTCCTCCAGTTCATTGAGTCTTCTGCAGAGTTCTCCCGAGAGCCCTCAGAGTCCTCCTGAGGGACCTGCCCAGTCTCCTCTCCAGAGTGCTCTGAGCCCCTTGATCTCTTCCACTTTGTTGAATCTTTTCCAGAGTTTCCTTGAGAGTCCTCAGAGTCCTTCTGAGGGGCCTGACCAGCCTGCTTTCCAAAGTTCTGTGTGGTCCTTCCCCTTCACTTCACTGAGTCTTCTCCAGAGCTTTCCTGAGAGTCCTCAGAGTCCTCTTGAGGGGCCTGCCCAGGCTATTTTCCAGAGTTTTGTGTGCTCCTTCTCCACTTCACTGAGTCTTCTCCAGAGCTTTCCTGAGAGTCCTCAGAGTCCTCCTGAGGGGCCTGCACAGTCTGCTCTCCTGAGTCCTGTGAGCTGCTCCTGCACATTACTGAGTCTTCCCCAGAGTTTCCCTGAGAGTCCTCGGATTCCTCCTGAGGGGCTGTCCCAGTCTCCTCTCCAGAGTCCTGTGAGCTCATTCTCCTCCTCCTCCCGCTCCTCCTCCTCCCCCTCCCCCGTCTCCCCCTCCCCCTTCTTCCCCTCCCCCTCTGCCACCTACCCTACCCCTCCCCCTCGTACCCCTTCCCCTCCTTCTTCCCCTCCCACTCCCCCTCCCCCCCGTCCCTCGTCCCCTCCCCCTTCCCCTCCTCCCCCTCCCCCTCCCCTTCCTCCTCCTGCTCACTCTCCTCCTCCTCCCCGGCCTCCTCCCCCGCCTCCCCCTCCTCCTCCCTCTACTCCCCCTCCCCCTCCTTTTCCTCCTCCTCCAGTTCATTGAGATTTCTCCAGAGTTCTTCTGAGAGTCCTCACAGTCCTCCTGAGGGGCCTGCACAGTCTGCCCTCCAGGATCCTGTGACCTCCTTCTCCTTCAGTCCACTGAGTTTTCCCCTGAGTTCCCCTGTGTGTCCCCAGAGTCCTCCTGAGGGTCCTTCCCAGTCTGCTCCCCAGGGTCCCGTGAGCACCTTTTCCTCCTGTCCATTCCCTCTTACCCTGAGTTCCCCTGAGTGTCCCCAGAGTCCTCCTGAGGGGCCTTCCCAGTCTGCTCTCCAGGGTCCTGTGGGCTCTTTCTACTCCTCCACTTTATGGAACCCATCCAGTGAAGAGTCCAGCAGCCCAGCAGATGAAGATACAAGAACCTCAGACACCTTACTAGACAGTGAGTCCTTGACAGATAATGAGTCCCCGACAGCCACTGAGCCCTTGTTTGCTCATACACTGGATGAAAAGGTGGATGAGTTGGTGTGATTTTCGTCAGCAGGTACAGGGGCTACTTTCCTATGATCTTCAGGAAAGCCCGTGAGTTCATAGAGATTCTTTTTGGCATTGCCCTGACAGAAGTGGGCCCCGACCACTCCTATGTCTTTGTAAATACATTAGACCTCACCTGTGAAGGGAGTCTGAGTGATGAGCAAGGCATGCCCCAGAACCGCCTCCTGACACTTATTCTGAGTATAATCTTCATAAAAGGCTCCTGTGCCTCTGAGGAGGTCATCTGGCATGTGCTGAATGGAATAGGGGTATGTGCTGGGAGGGAGCACTTCATCTTTGGGGAGCCCAGGGAGCTCCTCACTAAAGTTTGGGTACAGGAACATTACCTGGAGTACCGGTAGGTGCCCAACACTTCTCCTCCACGTTATGAATTTCTTTGGGGTCCCAGAGCCCATTCAGAAATCAGCAAGAGAAAAGTAGTAGAGTTTTTGGCCATGCTAAACAATACCGTCCCTCGTTCCTTTTCACCCTCATACAAGGATGCTTTGAAACATCTAGAAGAGAGAGCCCAGGCCACAATTGACACCACAGATGACTCCACTGTCACAGACGGTGCAAGCTCCGATGTTTCCCAGCCCGTCTTCCCCTGAGCAAAGTCTAAGGCAGAATCTTCCTTTTGAGTGTGAACAGGGCAGGCGAGTTTCTATGCCATGGAGGGCCCGGGTGAAGCTGGCGAGAACAGAGTGTTTGCGTTTCTGTTCCATATGGTAGTTAAGGGATTTACCTATTTTACTTTGGGGTATTTTTCAAATGTTTTCCTTTTAATAACAGGTTTAAATAGCTTCAGAAACTTAGTTTATGGAGTTTATGAATATTAGTCACACATGTGCTGCTGTTTAACTGGTTTAGGGGTAACGGTTTGATAGTTTGTAAAACACACACACACACACACACACTCACACACGATTGGGAAAACCTGCCTTTTCTGTGGTCTGTCACACTTTAATATGGTATTACTGTAGCAATTTTCTTTAAACTGTAAAAGAACTCTGGAGTTGAATAGTGGAACAAAACAAAGGATTGTTAATATTTGCATTTCCTCATACCCTTTAGTCTGCTGTTCTTGAAAATTAAAGATACGTACCTGGTTTTCTTGGCTTGTTTAATAAAGTAGCAGAGATTAAATGATAATAAATAAAAATATCACGGACTCCTTTATTTGACGAACATTATATCAGCATTTGCTCATGGAAGTTACGTTTAGTAGTGAAGTTACTATTAAAAGCAAGACTTACACCTACTCATAGAACGGTAGAGTATAGGTACAGAAGCCATATCGGAAACTTGGTAAGATATTTCTCTTCAATCTAAAGAGTAAGTTTAAAAAGGAGTGGGGCGGTGAGACTCCAGTTGGAGCCTTCAAACAAAAAGGCCCTGAGCTAAGGCAGTTTTGGGCTTCGGGAAACTGCACTTGCTTCTGTGGGAGCTGATTTTTATGAAGCTGGGTGGTGGCGGGGCCCAGACTCTCAGAAGGTGAGAGAAAAGCCTGGAATGGAAAGCTACTTGAGCAGTTCCCTCTGGGTGAAGGATGAGGCAGAGAGGAGTCTCCACATGGGGAAGTAATGGGAGGTGTCCTGCAGCTCTTGTGCACTTGAACACAGTACTTTTGTCCAGCCCCAGGACTTTCCCCCGTTATAGCACTGTCCTTTCGATCTCCCGTGTGCTCTCGTGCAACTATGGAACCTGGCCTGCTGACCAGCTTGTCACCGTGTTTCCCACTCTGAAGGCTGTACCCAGCTCTCAGTGCCAGACGCCATTGACATCTACCCTTCCCCTAACATAGACCACTCTTTGTCTCTGCAGAAGTTCCCTGACTGATCCATCCCTCTCCCTGGCTCCTCTGTGATAACAGACTTTGATGTGAATATACACTTTGAATAGTGACATTTCCATACATATGCTGGGCATCTTCACCACATTCTCAACATATTTCCAAATAGACTGCAGAGTAAAATCTAATTTGTCACACAATATACTTGTTTTACGGATGTAAGCCTAAGGTAGATATAGTGTATTTGAAATCATTGTAATATTTGATATTTGTAGTAGGATTTTAATAAAATGCATTATTTGAAACAGGGCGGTGAACCCAAATACAGATGAATGAGCTTTTATAGGTGATCAAATGCCAATCTTTCCTTAATAAACTTTGTAGATAAGGAAAGACTATAGAAATCACTTTGCAAATGATCTACAAGAAGACGAATTTCTAAAAAAACAAAAAAATCTTGAAACCTGCCTAGGAGGTAACAAGGGTACTTTGTGGACATGCCAGCTCTGATGAGAAAAGAAAGTTATAGTTAAACATCCTTCCCCTGTCTCTTTTCTGTGTACCTGCCCCACAGGAAAATCTTTTTTTTGCAGTGTGCCACAGGCACATGTATAGCTGTTCAGGAATGTTCCATCGTATGGAGGGTGGCCGAGGCTCACAGGTAGATTATTTATCATACACCAAAAATAGGAGAGTATTGTCAGCCTAAAGAAATTATATAGCTTATTAAAAGGACAGTGCAAAGTGCTATTGAGGGAATAAGGTTGACTCTCCCTGCCAAGATTTACAAAATTGTTTTAAAACAGGATGTAATCTTGTTTTTGAAACCACGAGTCACTTTGTTGGTGCAAGAAAATGTTGGAAGATTTCAAGGCTATGCTGACATTCCCAGAAATAATTCCAAGAAATGAAGAAACTGTCATAAATTATAGTAGTTGGTTTTAATTGAGCACCATAATAACATATGGGAGAAACTACAAGTGCCCATTTTCATTTGTCTACCTCACCTTCTTGGGTGGTTCATTTATAGTTAGAAGCCAGTGCATCATTCCCGTGCCTTTGTTTCTGTTGAGCAGTTAACATGTGTTGTGATGTGGAGCTACAAGTGGAAAGCAGCTTGGATTCTTGGGTCAGGCGAAAGCCAGGATGGACTGTGTATTAGTCTATTATACCATAACAGAATACCACAAACTGGGTGACTGAAAAAACAGAAATTATTTTCTCACATTTCTGGAGGCTAAATATCTAAGGTGAAGATGTTGGCCAGTTTGATTTCTTCCCTGGCCTCTCCGTGGCTTGCTGATTGCTACTTTCTCAGTGAATTCTTACATGGTTGTTCCTTAGTCTGTGTGTCTGTATCTTAATCTGCTCTGCTTATGAGGACACCAGTCATATTGAATATGATCCTAACCGTAAAATCTCATTTTACCTTAATTGCCTCTTCAAAGGTTCTGTCTCCAAATACGATGACATTCTGTAGTACTGGGGTTAAGACGTGGATATATCATTTTGGGGAGAGGGGGCACAATTCAGCCCATAACACCCTGCCAACTCAAACCGGAATTTATGTGCACAAAAATCAACTTGTGTTAAGCCATTTAACTTTCAGGAGATTTTTTTCTGTTCCATCAGCTTGCTTTCACTTAATCTGACTACTACAGTACTCCTCTTGCTTTTCTTAGGGTTATCTCAGTATTTTAGTTAAAAGTAAATAGCACATGTATTTTTGTGGCAAAAAATTCCAAAAATACATAGAAATTGCATTTTTTCCTTTAAAATTTTCAAAATTCAGCCTCCTACTCAGAAGTTTCCACAAGTAACAATGTGGCTGTGTAAATTTTGAAAGATGATTTTTGATTTCTGGCTTTTATAAAGATAGATGTGCTATTTTGTATATACACATGTATGTATACACACATGTATGTAATGATATAATGATATACATATAGATCTGTGACACTTGCCTTTGCCACTGTTATAGGTTCAATTGCCTCTTCTGCAAAATTCTACATTTTTAAAATTAAAATGTGACATGACTTGTAGATAGGATTATTTCAAAGGCAATCAAGTTAAAATGAGGTTATTAATGCTGGCCTCAATGGAAATCACTAAAAAGGGGATATGTAACAAACCTACACTTGCATCTCTGAATTTAAAGTTAAATAAAAATTTTAGATACATACATCAAATTTAACTGCTCTGTAAGGTTTTATTTATTTAGGCAAATATCTGTGAGTTTCCACCTTGAGCTCTGAGGTTTGATACACCAATCCTGGCTATGAGCAGAGGCCATCTGCCCCTGGGATGTGGTGACAAAGCTAAGGAAGGAAGTCAGCACATGAACAGCTGAATTGATCCTGGCCATAGTGGGTGGAGAGAACTCTAATCCTCAGGGAAATCTCTGGCAAAGCCACAAGTCAACCTTTTTTGGAATCTTAGGGCTCCTGAATCCTTCTGAGGGTCCTGTCAGGAGTAAGAATTGTTGAAAGGAAATATGCGGAGCTCTTATCCATGTGGAAAGGGAGACAGTCCTCTACGCCTATCAGGTCAGCAACCTGGCAATGCCACGAAGTCAGTAAAGTGTTTGTGGACCTGGTCAGGGTGTCTATCATCAACACAACATCCCTCCGTCATGACTTTCTGGAATAGAACTGCTCGGGTTATATTTCTTGAAATCTCAGAGTTCCAATGGTCAGCAGGAGGACTGGTCAAGTAAGAGGGGGAATAAATCCATCATCGTCCCGGGTAGCCTTTCCCTAGCTACTGTTGAGATCCAAGTCTTACCCTCAAAAAGCAAAGGCTTGTGAAAGCAGCTAGGCCTTCTATGGTTGAGACAAGGGGAAGAGAGGAAGTGCCATTTCGTCTGTTCCTCTGACTCATATCATCTCACTCCTCTTGTTACTGAAGTGACCAATGACCCCGACCTCTTTCAGTTCTTTCAACTCCAGCCTTACTGATGCTCTGATTTACTCATACTGCTGACCCACTAAAAGATAATCTATACGAAGACTTATTTATTATTCTGTGCATTTCTGTGTTTTTGAAGTATTTATAATAAACATTTTTATAGTAGCTTTTGAATTTCCCTGTAATTGCGTTTTTTTTTTTAAATAATATGAAAAAGGGTTCCACTTACGTTAGGTTTTTTATATGGATATTCAGTTATTCCACTGATAGTATTTTAACAAGACAGTCTCCTGTTCTAAAGCTGCAACGTTTTTAAATCAGTTCAGCTTGCATTTAGACATGTTTTGTTGGTTTTGTTTTTCAGGACTTTCCATTCAGTTCCATTGGTCTGTCTGTTAATCCATGCACCCAAATCTCAAACTCTTTGTTACAACGGCTTGTTTGTAATTCTTACTATCTGTTGGACAGACTGCTCTTTTTCAAGAGTGCATTGACTATGCTTTGCTATTTGCATGTCTTCATAGTTTAGAGCCAGGTGATTCAGTCCAATCCTGCAACACATTGACATCCCTAAAAGGGAGGGAGAAAGAACAAGCAACTTGTTAAACAAATTTAAGGGTATCATTCACAAAAATTACTCTGCCCTTACTGGATGGTCAGCATTCAAATTCAGGAAATCCAGAGAAGCCCTGTGAGATGCTATATAAGACAAGCATCCCCAAGTAACATAGTTGTAATATTCTTCAACGTCAACATGAAAGAAAAAAATATTAAAGGCAGCTAGAGAGAAGGAACAGGTCACCAACAAAGGGAACCCTATCAGAGTGGACATCAGGATGGATCAATACCAGGTAATATTTAGGCTGGTAAGCAGCAACATCACTCTCTGAATGAATAATCATTTACATAGTAGTTGCATATGTTTATGGGTTACATGAGATATTTTGATATAGGCTTGCTATGTGTGATAATCATATCAGGGTAAATGGGTTATCCATCAGGACAGACATTGATCCTTTGTGTTGCAGTCCGATTATACTCTTTTAGTTATTTCAAAATGTAAAATTAAATCATTTTGACTATGGACATCCAGTTGCGATAGCAAATACTAGGTCTTATTGATTCTCTCTAACTGTTTTTTCTCTCTAACATCCTCATTTCTCCCCCAGCCCCCATCTACATTTCTCAGTCTCAGGTAATCATCCTTCTACACTATCTCCATGAATTCAGTTGTTTTGATTTTTAGCTTCCACAAATATGCAAGAACATGTGAAATTTGCCTCTCTGTGCCTGGCTTATTTCACTTACCATAATGACCTCCAGTGCCATCCATGTTGATGCAAATGACAGGATCTCATTGTTTTTTATGGCTGAATAGTACTCCATTGTAATACAATTTCTTTATCTATTCATCTGCTGAGGGACACTTGGGTTGCTTTCTCATCTTGGCTATTGTGAATGGTGCTGCAGCAAACAGGGTCGTGCAGATATCTCTTCAGTGTACTGATTTTCTCCATTGACTGATTTTCTTCATTTTGGGTAAATACCTGGGAGTGAGATAACTGGATAGTATGGTAGCTTTGTTTTCATTTCTGGAGGAATCTCCAAGCTGTTATCCATAGTGGTTTTATCAGTGTACATTCCCATCAACAGTATAAACAAACTGGGGTACATCTATACAATGGAATACTATGCAGCCATAAAATGAAAAGACCTATCAAGCCATGGAAAGACAGGGATGAACATAAAAAGCATGTTGCTAAGTGAAATAAGTTAATCTGATACCTTGGTTATCGTTTACTCCTATTTCAATTATCCAAACGATGGTGCCCTTTTTATGTTAAGATTCCTGGCCAGACACAATACCTCGTGCCGTAATCCCTGCACTTTGGGAGGCTGAGGAGGGTAACTCACCAGAGGTCAGGGGTTCAAGATGAGCCTGTCCAACATGGTGAAACCCCATCTCTAATAAAAATAAAATAAAAATAAAAATAGCTGGGCATGGTGGCACGAACCTGTAATCCTAGGCACTCAGGAAGCGGAGGCACAAGAATTGCTTGAATCTGGAAGGCAGAGGTTATAGGGAGCCAAGATAGCACCATTGCCCTCCAGTCTGGGTAACGGAGTGAGACTCCCTCTCAAGTTAAAAAAGAAAAAAAAATTCCTGCATGACAAAGTTGGATTGATCCAGTAACATCAATTATATTTGATACAATCTCATTCTCATATTGACTTTTTTGTTTGGGGACCTCCCATGTCAAAACTCATAGGTTGTAACCTAA